CAACAGGATGCTGTGTGGTTGAAGATTTAAATAAGGTCTACATCAGAGTTGCATCCTTTCACCATACTTATTCAATCTGTACATAAGTAAATAATCCAAAAGCTGTACCATACAAAGAATTTCTAGGCATCAGGATTGGAGGAAGATGAACAACCTTTTGATATGCAGAAGACACAACTTCACTTTTTCAAAGTGAAGATTTAAAGCTCCCCAGTCAATTTCAAGGTGTGACCTTGCCAGACCCCTCAAGAGGACCAAATAGTAACCAATCCCCTAAACAGGCCACATTCATTTAGCTTGCAAAGAAATTGACAACCCCCTCCAAACATTTTAGATACCTTTTTGCATAGTAAAATGTCTAATCCCTTTGCAAGATTGTGGCCTAACAATTCCTCTTGGCAGAGCAGCAAACCCCGGGCCAGAAAGGCCATCTATAAAGAGAAACCCACAACACTGAAGAGTGGTTCTCTGCATTTTCTTTTTTCGTGAGCCAAGAAAATAGTTTCTCCCTTTGAATCAGTAGACAAAGTATCTGGCTGCCATATTAGAACTAGTACACTCATGAACATGACCTGTTTGGCTTCAGTATGCATTGCTTTCCATCCCTGTTGTAGAAGTTTGAGGTCAAGTTGTTTCAGCATGAAGCTCTTCATTAGTCTCTCACGGGGCTGTGAGGGGAGGTCAGAAGCTCGCAGGCATCGGATCCCAGAGGTGATCAGTTGCCAGACTGCAGTGGGCCCCCACTCCCTGCTCTTAAAGACAATGGACAGGGTTGCAGTCATCTATTTGGTTCCTGTAGATGGGGTTTACACCCTACTGATAATGGTTTCTATGGAGATCCAGAGACCAGGTCAAAGCTAAACTGCCATCCTAAATCTAAGATCTGCCCATCTTATCACATGTATGCCCCCAACCCCTCCTTCCTATTGCGTGTATGTCCCTAGGCCACCCCCTTCCATTACTGTATAATGTATAGTGCAACCCCTTCCTGTGATGTATGTCTTTACCTGTAATTAGTGGGCTTGCAGGCCCCCAAAGGCATATTGGCCTGGGTTAGCAATAGAGGCCTTGCCTCACTTCTTGGCTCCCTCTCCTTCCCCGTTTCCCTTTCCCCTTATCCTCCTTCCCTTCCCCCGCTCTCCACGTGGACCACCAAGCGGGGCTGAGGTGAGCAATGCTACCAAGTAATGTGTCTGACTCCGTTTTTTGACTCTCTTCTATCTCTCATGACTTTAATATAATATAGATATCTCAACCATACAATTGTGCTTACTGAACCTGTGGTTAGTGGTGGGGGGCTGGCCGCCCCCCCCCCACCTCAAACCACACAGGACAATCATTGAATTTCATCAATTTTTACTTGATTGATAATTCGAGTGCTGCTCATGTCTATAGGTTCTTATCCTCTCTAGCTCTGTCGAAAGAGAGCTACCCTGATGACAAAGTCACTGTTGCTGCTATTAGGGGCCACCGAGTTGGCTCCAGCCTATAGCAACTGGTGCATGAAGGAAGGAAACCTGCTTGGCCCTGCCCTGCTCACAGTTGCTTCTAAGTCTGAGCCCACTGTCACAACCACCTGTCAATCCACCTCCTTGAGGACCTTCCTCTTTTTCATGCTTTACCAAGCCTGTTCTTCTCCAGGGACTGGTCTCTGCTGATCTATCCAAAATATGTATGGCAAAGTCTCTCCATCATTGCATACACAGTCCTTTACATCATTGTAGTTTCATTATTTGATCAAAGAACTTCATTAACTCAAGAACCAATTGTTCAGTAAAATGGTAAAGTGTGCTTTGTGAACAAGAACCAGATTTGAGACTGCCATTCAGACATAAAAAGGTAAGTAATGTTAAATAATGCCTATGGATAATAGATATAGGAAACTATTAGTAATGGCAAGAACGTATACTAGAAAGAATAAGTAATCGAATACAGGAAAAGATGTGTTGGGGAATTGCTGCCTCATCATGTGATTAATAACCGAAGGCAAAAGCTTTCTGTGAGATTTATCAAAACCCAAGTCTGCAGAAACACAAAATCTTTTGAAAACACATGACTTTTAAATCTCCTCTGTTTTCAAAGACCCCACTTGACATGTGTTTCTTGGATGCTATACTTTTATGTTGAGTGGACATTTCTGGTCTGTCTTATGCTATGTCCCACTTTCTTGTATCATGTTTGCATACAAATACCAATAATGAAAAGAGTAACTGGAAAAAAATGAGATTTTTTTTCTATTGTAAGACCACAGTATTTATAGTTACATGTACTCTTATTAAAATGAGCTTGGTAGGAAAAAGCTGATTTTGTATTACCTGAATGGTTAATAAATGTTTATCGCTCACTCTATATATTCATACAGTCATTCTACTCTTGGTTGTCCAAATGGGAGTTGGGGCGGGGATTGGGTTTGAAGCCTCCTGTGGATACCCAAATCCGTGGATGGCATAGTATTTGCATATAACTACTATGTACAACCTCCAATGTACTTTAAATCAGCTCTAAACAAACAAGCCCGACTCACTGCCACCGGGTCAATTCCAACTCATAGTGACTCTACAGGCCAGAGGAGACCTGGCCTAGTGGAGTTGGTTCTAAGACCGAGAAAGCCTCACCTTTTCTCACCTTGGCGTGGCTGATGGTTTGGAATGGCTGATAACGCAGTTAGCCATACACGGGACTGATATGCCATAAGGGTTCCTCTGTAAAACATCTCCCGATTGCTTGTAATATGTGCTACAATGTAAAGTCAAACTCAAACTCACTGCCATCCGGTCGATGCTGACTCAGAGAGCAGGGGAGAGCTGCCCCGTGGAGTCCTGAGACTGTAACTCTTTACAGGAGTAGAAAGCCCTTTCTCCTTTGGAGAGGCTAGTGGTTTGGAACTGCTGACTTTGCATTCAGCAGCCCAATGGGTAACTACTACCCCACCAGGACTCCTAATACAACGTAAATACAACATAAATAACACTTTACACCTCCTTCACAGCATTTCAGTCTGAACAGACCCACTGGACGGCACCTAACAAGATCAACAAGTTAGCATTTGAGGGATTGATCTGATGACTGAATTGCTTTTTAGGAGACTAGGGGAGCAACACTTAAGAGACTCCAGCAACACTCGAGCTCTCGAGGGACGGAAGAGCTGAGGAAACGGCGGGAATGTATGACCGACCGGGGGTGCGTGCATACTACTTCATTCGCTTGCATTCAGTATAGTGCCCTGGTACTGGACAAATTTAAGTTTTGCCTTTTGGCTTAAAAAAAGAAAAAGAAAAAAGAAGTCCACCTGATTTTAATGTAATAGTATAAAAAATGTATTGGTGAAGTTACCATTTGTTGAGTTTGGATGTTGTACACTTATACTCAGTTATTAAAGTCTATACTCAAAAATATACCCTGAAGTGGTCTTAAAAGTTAATTTGCCTGCCTGAGCATTATGCTATTTTAACACCAGTCTGTTTGGAATCAAATTTACAATACATAACTTAAAAATTAGAGACTTTATGGAGTAATGAGTTTGTTAATGAAAAAGCGGGCAAATGGTTGCACAGCTGCAAAAACAAGCACTATCACCAAATTGTAAATGTAAAAACTTTTAATATGTGTGCTCTCAACAAAATAAAATTAGGAAAATCTTCCCTTTTCAAAAAAAAGAAAAGAATATTTTTCCATCTGTGATTGGTTGAATCAGGGGGCCCACTGTAATAGAATACTCAGGAGATTATTTTTATCAGGAAAGACATTCCCTGATTTGGCTCCCTGCTACTCCAAAATGTTAGGTAATACAGCGCTCCTGAACTTGTAGTGAGAGAAAATCCTTCAGTAAAGGAATATAAACACTAAGGATGTGTTTACTTACATATCTCTTTCAGCGTAATTATGGCTTTTCTCAGTAGTTTCTTGCTTATGAATGTAAGCAATACTTTTGGGTTTTTTTTACATGAGAGAATCATAAGTTTCCAGCAGGGAGTGAAAGGAGGTTGTTATTTCTAAATGCTAAAGTGTTGTTCCACCCCACTCCCCCACCCCCCACCCTTTGGTGGTAACACGGTGAAATGATCAGAAAAGCCTAGCTTATTTAAGCTGGTGAATCTAGATCGGCCTTCATTTGGTAACTGATAAAAAGTCAACCAACCATAATTAAGGAGCCACTGCATTTATTTTCGACTACGTACAATTAAAAACTTCTGAAATGTGAAAGCCTTTCTGACCAACTGCACCGCTGAAACAGGGTTCATGCTGTTCTTAGCACACATCTCCTGTGGAGGCTTCTCCTAAAACATCTTTTTTTCACGGAGATTTCCCATGAGCATTATGGAGTCTAACTAACGGGAAGACCAACGCTACCACGCAAGCTGCTGGGCTGTTACATTGTTCTCTTGAGCTCTCTCTCTGGCATAGAGGATAAACCCACAATGTAAAATTTTTGTTGTTGTTTATTACATACTTAGCAAAACATATACCAGTGCAACAGTTTCAACATGTAGCATTTAAAGACACTGAAGATGTTTGAATTGTGTTCCCACCCGCCTTTTCTTTTCCTAATTATTTTTTGTTTGTTTGTTCCCCAGCCCTCCTTGTCTGAGTAGTCCTTCCCTCTTAACTTGAACTCACCGTTCCACTTGATCTTCTGAGCTGTTGTCAATTTGATCTCCTATTGAAACTTCATAAAAGTGCATAGTGTTCAAGGCTGCCACCCCGCCCCCAGTAGTTAAGCCAAGCTGTTGTTTGGAGCTCCATAAAATTCAGTTTCAAAGTGTACAATCCCTGGTTTCTAGTATAGGACGTTGTGCAACTATCCCCACCACCTAATTCTGGGACATTTTCATCACTTCACCACGAAACCTCACGTCGTTAAACCCTCACTCTGCAGCCCCTTCACCAATGCCTCTCCCCACCTGGGGAAACGAAGTTAGGTTCAGCGGCAGTCATCATAAGAGGGAGCAAGGCAGAGTACTAAGTAAAGAGAATGCTGGGCTTCTCTTGCCAGGCGTCCTCTTAGGGTGACAACGTCTTTAAACCCCGCGTGGCAATCCCTGATGCACCGCCGTGATGCCCAGGGAAGACAGGGCAACCTGGAAGTCCAACTACTTCCTTAAAATAATCCAACTTTTGGATGATTATCCAAAATGCTTCATTGTGGGAGCAGACAAGGTGGGCTCCAAGCAGATGCAGCAGATCCGCATGTCCCTCCGCGGGAAGGCCGTGGTCCTGATGGGCAAGAACACCGTGATGCGCAAGGCCATCCGAGGGCATCTGGAGAGCAACCCGGCTCTGGAGAAACTGTTGCCTCATATCCGAGGGAATGTGGGGTTTGTGTTCACCAAGGAGGACCTTCCCTGAGATCAGAGACATGCTGCTGGCCAACAAGGTGCCAGCTGCCGCCCGTGCTGGTGCCATCGCCCCGTGTGAGGTGACTGTGCTGGCTCAGAACATGGGCCTGGGTCCCGAGAAGACCTCCTTCTTCCAGGCTTTGGGCATCACTATGAAGATCTCCAGAGGCACCATTGAAATCCTGAGTGACATGCAGCTGATCAAGACTGGAGACAAAGTGGGCGCCAGCGAAGCCACCCTGCTGAACATGCTGAACATCTCCCCCTTCTCCTTTGGGCTGATCATCCAGTAGGTGTTTGACAATGGC